TGCACAGTTCAGATAGGAACATTGACACAAAATCTGATTTGCCCACACAGTATTGGTTCACGGTTCCCCCTTGTAAAAATCAGGTAGGAAGCTGCACTTTATTCTTGGGAACATTTGTTCTATTAACTGACCTACAGAAACTCTGTATTAAACTAAACGTTTTACAGGGCTCAAGTTGTTACTGCTACTAGAAACCAGTTACTACACAGCTGCCTGTGAAATAGCCCAAATACTCCTTATTCAATGCATTACTGGAGCTGGAGAAGCAGATTCTGCACAGAGTCATTAGGAAACCTTAGAGATTAAATAAGTCACCTTCCCATTCAGGACAGAAAGACAACAGGTAACTGCTAGTGGCAATCACATACACAACATGGAAAACCTGTAAAGGTCCCTGAAATACCAGGCAACTGCCAGTGTCCATTCCACAGGACCAGCAGCAGCCTCTCAGCCAAGCAATGGGGGCTTCCCTCCCCTTCTCTCAGCCATGTCACGGTACCATGAAACGTTTTCTCCTTTCCAAATAATTCCCCACTACAGCAGGGAATTTTCTTATTATCCACCAGAGAAAGAAAATACAACCCTCCTAAAACATCCCTGACAGCTGCCAGTATCTCAGTGAGCTGCTGGGAAGAAGGGGGAGATAGAGAAACATTTCATACAGTGATTACGTTAAAACTCCAAGTCACGGTGCTTCGGAATGAAAAGGTACAGGGTGAAGGTGCTGTGGGGTAATCGGTCCTAGATAAATGGGGTGATTTCATATAAATAGCATTGTATTGATCAAACTGTGTGCACAGTACAAAGGTTTTCTTTAAAACCTTTCAGAATCTTCTGTGTGGGGAATCGCATTGCAAGGGCTGCTTTCATGCAAGAACTATGCATGTCATTTATCCATCACACAATGAATCCATCAGACACTAGATATGTAATGTTATCTGCCTGCATTAAAGCTGGAAGTGAGATGCCATGAACTTCTCAGAAGTGGTGTCAAGAGGTAAGACTGGGTTATACCAACTCAGATCAATTGCTGCACTCAAGCCCCGGCCAAAAGCTGGGATTGATATTGCACTGCCTGTAGCTCGGTGGTGGAGGTTAAAATGCGAAGGCATTTCCCTGAGGGTGCCCGCTTTCCTGCTGCCGCAGCAGCTCTCTCCTGACACTGCAGCTCTCCTGAGCTTCCCTGGCATTTGTCTGGGATTAGACCTGTGACATCAGGCTCAGGAAACTGGGAAAGGAAGGGCTGTGCTGGCCTAGGAGGAACCTTGACATGAAATGAAAGCAGGGTTCATTCTGCCCTCCCAACACTAAGGCTCCCTGCAGGGTCAGCGGGTGCTGTAGGGATGTCAATGTCAAGTAAGATGTCATGAGAAAGAAGTAAGGTTTGGCACGCTGGGCTTTGGGGAGGGGGTAGTTTTCTTTTGGTCTGCACACTTTCTTGCCCTTGACCCCAGGGTCAACACAATCCTCCCTAATGTAGATTCCCATGGCCTGGAGATTTCAAGCTCAAGACCATCAATCAAAGCTTTCAAATCTCTGGCACCCAAATGGGTCTGGTATCCAGCAAACAGAACAGGCCAACTCCATCCTGGAGAGATGACAGGGTAACTTGAAACAGGGGAGACGAGGACAGAACCATCTCCCTTCACCTCCTTTCCTGCAGAAACATCTCCTACAGCCACAAGAGCAACCTAGAGCAGCGTTAAAGAAAGCATAAGACACGTGAAGAGTTCGTTCTGCTGCACAGTTCAGCCATGTCTTAGTCTTTCCTCCCCAAGGGCTATACAAGCACCAGTCCCTAATGAGTCAGTTTTCATTCCATTTGCTCTGTGTTTATTCTTGCTTCTCGCTTTCTGATCCAACTCTCATATTACAAAAATCAGAGGGTTACTTTTATTACCTCATTTGGACACTGATCTTACAAGTTGGATGAACTATCTCATCCTTGTAACAGGAAAGATGAGACCGTTTCTGGTTATAACCCCATTTTTAGGGGGACAGCTATAAAAGGCTTCAGAAGAAGAGGTGCAGAAAGAAGAAACCAGTCTCGTAGTCTCTTCTTCTACAAGTGAGTTTACATTTCTTCAACTTGCCCTCTACAGCCACTGGAGGACACACACGCATTTTACATACCCTCACACGTAACCAAGAAAGGCTCCTGGCCTCTTGTCCCTATTGCAGAGGTGTGAGGAAGAGATTGTTTTTCACTTGTCCCTAACCTACTCTATTAAAGCAAACCTCCTCACACAGCATCTACCTGCCCAGGTCCAAGGTGCCTTCAGAGGCAGCTTTCCACACATCTGCTCTCACCCTTGGGCCTTGCAGTACTTGTAAGTGCCAACGGCCTCACCTGCTTGAAGCGACTGGCTACACTGAGCTGATCTCACCCGCTGCCATTCCCCAAGCTCACCATGGTCGTGTTGGGCTGAAATTCAAGAGAGCAGGAGCAGCAAAACTCCTCAACTTCAGCTGTCTCTAGAAGGAGTGGGGCTGTGGCAGGAAAATCCGCCTCGGCTCATAGGAAGGATGAACTTCCACATCTGCCTTTGCACAGCAAGGCAGCAAGTTTAGAGAGGGGATCAGTCTCCAGCACTGGCAAGGGATGTGTGTGCCCATCCAGTCACTCCTGCCTTCCTCTGAACAGCTTCAGGCTGTTGTGATGAATTGAGACATTACAAGAAGACAGTTTGGAGAACTGAGAGACAACTTCACATCCAGATCACCCAGCAAAATAGGGATCTTCCCCCAAAATCCGGAGTAGGAATGCAGACAATACTAAACAAACACAAGAACCTCTTAAACAGTGCTGGCTATAATTGAATAACAACTGAGGTCATTGCTGCATAGATCAGACTGAGCTTAACCCTGAAAAAGAAAGGTGAATCAGCGTATTTCTCTCGTGTTCAGCACCAGCATTTGTGTGATGTTTCTCCACTGTCCATTTAATTGTTACAGTCAAGTTTTGCACAGCACCCACAGCTTTTCAAACAAAGTGGAAGCCAAAAGATTGACAATGATGCTGCTGGGCTGCAGAAGGCACCCTTACAGAGACACAGCCTTTAGAACTTCACAAGAGAAAGAACTCCTTCCCCTCCATAAAAGCAAACCCTTTGATGAGCTTTGCTGCACAAGTGTCCTAGGTTAGAGAAGGAGACATGGAGAAGGTAAGTGGGCAGCACTTCCCAAATACCACAAGCAGCTGGGGCCAACACCAGGGAGCAGGTTGCTTTCAGATCATGGGAACATCACCCAATTTAAACCAGCTTCCTATCTGTAAGGCAAACCCACTGACCTCAGTGCAGTTTCACTCTGGGCTAAGACTTCTCTAGGGGATTTGGACAGGCAGGACCTCCTCCCTCTTCCATGAAGCCCCACCAGGGCCCTAGCTGAGGTTGCCATCAGCTTCCCAAACACTCTGTTACCTGTCACAAGTGCTGAGCAGCACAAGCCAGCAGAGCTTGGGTGTTCTCATGTCAGGACACTCTTTGGCTATCGTTTTCTAGTGAGCCAGACACAGAAAATCCTGGAAAGCGAAGGAAGGTGCAGCTGGCTACAGGCTGAGCATGGCGGGGCTGGTTTACATCTCTCTGAGGCTGCTCCCACGTCTGCCTTGGATTCGGGACTGCACATGCAGAGGTCAGTCACCAGCCCCGCTCCTCTCCAAACGCCTCCAGCTCCTCACTGCCAAAGGAACCCACCTGCCAGGTCCCAGTGCTTGGAAAAACAATCCAGCTCATCTCTGTCCTTTGCACTACAACAGTTGTTTTCACTTGAACAATTCTGCTCCCCAGAACTTCACTCCCTCCACCCCTTCCTTTTCCCGTAGTGAAATATAATTGCGAAGGCTTTGAGGAAGTTCCAGACAACATTGCTCACTCCTTTTCAGCACAGACAATTCCCAAATTACCACAATATCATGCACTGGCCTCAAAACCACCCCCCCTTTACCCTCCCGCCCCCCAAGATTTCTCCCCAAATTCTTTTATGTCACTGATAGCCATCAGTTAATGAATAATAACAGCAGCACATGCCTTAAAGGGACCAAAGCACTCTATCTAACAGCCAGGATTGGGCTGTCACAGGAGGGACCACAGATCAAAGGGGAATGACTGACTCAGCTGCTTTGTTGGTAGACTGGAACAATTTATCTGAATCCCTGTAGGTAGAAATTAAAACAATTTGCAGGGAAAAAAACCCACAATGTGAAGGTCTCCCCTTAACATTTGTCTCCATTAAGCTGTGTGTGAAAGCCTCCCATCTTTCAGAAGAAGGATAAAAAAGCAGGACTGGCTAGCACTTGAAAAGCAGGCTAATGAACAACTGTTCTTGGGAAAATCTATGTACCCTGACTCCTCTGTGTTACATTCTACACTGGTAAGGTTTCTACAAGTCATTTTTAGTGAGAAAGACAAGAATCAGTTTGCTGCTTTCCGAAGCCAGGGCAGTCACTGCTTTATATCCCCATGTTATCAACCAGCAAGGTGGCAAAATATTTTTTGAACAGCTCTATCTGCCCTCTGTTTCTGAAGCAACACCTGAGCTACCACGTCCCAGTTGAGAGCAATGAGCTATTTATTGCTCAGTAGCAGCTGCACGCTTGTGACAGTGGTGAGCAGAGCTGGAACACAGCACTGCCCGGGAGCCAGCGAGCCCATCACGAGGGGCTTGTAGCAGGCAAGCACAGCAATGGGAGTAATGGCAACACAGGGCATGTTATTTCTGAGCTCTGAGCATTATTTAGGAGGAGCCAAGCTGAGCAGCCAGAGGGAAGAAAGGAGGCAAAGATGCAGCTGCATGGGAAGTGGAAAGAGCCAGGCTGGAGGTAAGCGATGCCCATGTGCCCAGCAGAAGGGTTCCTGGTACAGAACCACCACCACAGCATGTTCCTTGGTGTGCACGGAAGGACAGACACCAGACCTCTGCAGGGCTGCCAGCTCCCCATCTCCTTCACCAGCAACTCTTGGAGCTTTTTGCCAAACAGAATAAAGGCAGGTCCTTACCTTGGCCTCAAGCGTGTTCAGCCTCTCGGTCATATCCGCTAGTCTCGTGCAGTTCATGCATTCTAGAGAGAACAAAACAAACTGATGTAAGATTCCTACAGACCTTGCATTTTAACCCATGGCTTTCAGCCTGCAGACCCTGGTCCCTGTGTGAGCCAAGGCACACAGGATTCAAGATCAGTTATGGGGCAGAAATAAGTATCCAAATCCACTGCGCAGGTAAACACCCACAGCCACGCTACATGAACCTGTGTGGGGATATTGAGTGGGGCAGAGTGTGGAACCAAGCTCCCTATAGGTAGAAGGCAGATGAAATAAAACATCAGTTATAAGACTTTTCATGGTGCCAACAAGCATCACCTGTTGTCAGCAGCAGGGACACTGCTACTGGTGTAAGCTGGTGTGGCACATGCTGCCACCTCGCAGGACATGAGGCTGCACAACCACTACTCCTTCTAGCTCTGTGCTGTATCCTCTCCTGCACTATGGCCTGGTCAAATATGAAGGAAAGCAATGAATATACAAAATGCCCATCTCTGTGTGCTCCCAGGCCCTTTTACCACTCCCATAACAAATCACCTGTCTCAGTGACAGCAACAAAATCCAAGACAGACCCCAGGGCTCACGCAGACCGGAGCTGCAGCATGAAGTGGTTTCCATCTCACTTCGCTGCATAGAAGCAACGTTTAGGCAGCAACCAACAAAGGGGTCTTGACAGGGTGCCTTAGCAAGAACAAACATTAACATAATGGGTTCTGAGTGCAGTTTAAAATGACTGCTTGATCCAAAGGACATCACTTCTCTAAACAAAAGGCCTGCTGCTTTGCCTCTGTTTTCATTCAGCGATTTTAAAGCAAGTGAGGGATGATGAAGCCCTGAACAAAGATTTAATCAACAAGGCACTTTCCCAGCACTTTGCAGGAGTGTGGAACTGTCTGTTCCCAGCTCCCAGAGCAGCTTTCCAGGCTGGACCACTCACCTATCGTGACTTCTCAAGCACAGCAGATTCAAGAAAGGGAAAATGACTTGCAGCATGAAGTATTTCAGAGAGTAAACCATCCATGTTCAGGTGATGAATCACTGCCATCTCACGTGCCACAAAGGAGAAATACATCTGTGTGTGTTTCTGGGCTCCTTAAAGGCCAGAGCCATTGACTGGCCACAGAAGTATTTAACCCTGGTATTTCCAGAGTGCTGGGGAGGTTGACCTGTAATTCTTAAGCCCCTTAATAGACCTTTCAGGTGTTGCTCAGGCTGAGGTTGTAGCGATGAAGGGGACGATGAGTAAACTCTGTGCCTACCTATGAACAGGAATAGGTGAACATGGGTTTTGACCTGACTAAACGTCACCTTGACTCCTAGGACTCAGTCGTTCCCCCTAACAAGCTTTGTCCCCTTTTGCACAAGGAGCCCCGAGGAATCTCTCCAGTCTTCACCCACAAACACTTCCCAGTTTTATGAGGCTGCTGGTATGTACTGATGGCTCTCAGCCATGCAGAGATATTAGCACATGGTTCGGAGGGCCAGGAGGCTTGGCTGTTCCATGTTAGTGATTTACAGTCTAAGAAGATTGCTAAGTGCTAACAGCAACCAGTCACCCACTGCATAAACCTTCCCAAGAAATTCTCTCATTGACCCTCTAAGAGGAGCTGTGTGGCTTCCCAAAGGAGCTAAGACATAGAACTTCCACCTCATGATACCCAACATTTTGCAGACAAAGCATCTGAAGGTTCAGGCACGCTTAGATTGAGGGGCTTCCTCACAGGTCAATACTGACATTGACTTTCTTTTACCCAACAGGAAATAACATCTATTTCTCTTCTCTGCAAGACATCTTGGGCAATATTTTTTGGCTTTAATTGGCTCAAGAAGTGAGCAAGTGCCATAAGTGCATTGTCCCACAGGGAAGGAAATGGACGAGGTTTGTTTGGTCTGGATCTGCTTGTAGTGTGTAAAACAGGGAATTAACATCCCGCATGTAACCTGCTTCATGCTTTTGATCTTGCTCATCCTCACAGAAAGATAAGGCTGTATAAATCCAGTGGTCCCAAGAGCCAGAAGGCGTACCAGATGTGTTACAGAGCAAATAAAATATGGGCTCCTATTCTTCCTTCTGCTGGCTTGCACATATTGATAACTCCCATAGGTTTAGAGAGACTGACTTGACTTGTCCGAAAACCATCTCTGTGCATAACTTGTGATGGATTGATCACTTAAGCTCTCTTTGGAGAGCTCAGCTCACAAAAAAGGGATCATACTACCCAGGGGTGAATCAACCAGCATCCTGGGGAGAATACTCTTGTTGTCTCTGCCAGACAGTGTATGAACAGCACCAGTCCAGCAGCTCTTTGTTCCTAAATAGCTCTCAAAGCCCTTTCAGTTGCGTTTGCAGCACCTGATTTAAAGGAACAAAATGACATAAGGGGGGAGGAAGCAGCAATGCCACTGGATGGTGAGGTTTGTACCAACGGCATCTCCATGTCAGTGACGCCTGCTGAAACACACGGAGAACACAGCCCAGGTCAGAAAGAGAAGCTTAAGCTCAAGCTGGATTTGAACTCTGCTCCTTTCCTCTCTGAAATGTCTGGAAACCCAGATCCACACCCAAGGTACTTAGCCTGGACCCAAAACACATTTAACTAATCCAGAAAGTAGACATCCTAATGAAAAAAATATCTTCTTGCTAAGGCAAGCCTCCTGCCAACAAATCCTTGTGACCCTGCTTTAGCTAACCAGCAGCTGGACCATGCTTTCAAACACAGAGGTGAACGCTCAGTACTGCAGCTATAGAAACTGCATTCAAAGCTTGCTCACAACACACTGGGGACCAGGCTGTTTGAAGGCTGGGGTTGGTATCTGTCCTTGCAAAAAGCCTCAGAATGGTGGTGACAAACCAAGCCGATAAGTATCTTCCCTGACTACTAAATAGTGTCTAATCCTGATGGCTGGAGGTTTCAAGACCTGAGACTGTGAAGTTGAATTTTCTGATCAGGGTGGAAGCAGTCTGCTTTATTAAACGAGCTTGAGAATCTCACATCATTACTTCACATGCAACAAATAGAACACTGGGACAAATACACATACTCTCTGACCTGGAACTCCAGAACAGACACTTTCCATATCTGCAGAAATCCATCACTTGTTGCTACACAGAACCAGAGTTTATTTCCCTCATATTCCTAGTTGGCAGATTTGTATTTTTCCAGCTAAACTCCACGAAAGGAGTTGTGATTTCACTCCGTGAAGCTCAACCTCAAAACACATGGTAGGATTTGTTTTAGAAATATTCCAGCAGGGAGGATAAATAATTGAGATAATGAACATGAGACTGTACCAGCATATGGCGTGACACCCGGTCTGTCTCCAGGATGTCTCACTGTTACTGTCCTAGCACACCTCTCCCCTCCCACCCTCCCAATCCAGCTGCACGGTAAAGCGATGCAACTGGAGGGACAGAAAAGTGGTGGACTCCATGTGCTGTAAAACAACAAGTCATGTACTCTGTGACCCACTTCACCCTGCCCCAAAGGTTGCCACATTTCCCCATCTTTGATTAAAGGCTGAGGTGGTACCTCCAGCGCTGCAGCTCTGCAAAGAAGCACCTGGCTCTAAGCCTGCAGCTTCCACTCTGGATCCATTCCTACAAGCAGTGACTTCCAGTGGTGAATGCCTGACTTCAGGTGCCTTGCTAAGCTGGCATTCCCACGTGGCAGCATTTGTGTAACTTCATCATTAAATAGCTGCACATTTCAGCTGCTCAAGGGTGAAAGCCCTCAAAGTCCTCACTTGACTTGAGATAACAAGCAAGGCATGATAACGGCGTCATACCAATGGGGCTCTAATGATTTCAGCACAGTTACTGCAGTGGCACCGAGGGTAGTAAAAAACCCAACCCCAAGCCAGCATCACCATGGGGCCACAGGTCAGAGTTCTGTGCAAAACAGCAAAGAAACCTCTTGGCATCTCTGCCCCATTTCTCAGCTCTGACAGCCCATGCTCGTTTGTATACCCAGAGTCTCTGCAGAATATTAAAAGGGCTTTTGGTTTCC